GGTGGATTAACATACATATTTATTTAATTTTGGTAATCCCATTTAGGTGGGATTACGCTTCCTTACAGTAACTATATATATATATATTAGCTTTGGATAGCATAGGGAAAGGTTGACACCCCTGTGGTGCCTGTTTTGCTGTCTGTGCCCCTGTTCAGAAGATTTCACCTCACTTTCTCTCCCTGTGATAATTGGATTTTGAAACATTTGGCTTGTTGTGGAATCAAAGATTGGTGCTAAAGCTTTAGTTGAGACAGTTTAGTTGATAACTCTTTCAGAAGTGAATTTCCCTTCTGAGGAATAGATGTCTTTTGTAAGTCAGATGTTTGTAACTCGGGGACTGCCTGTAGATGTATTTCACTGAAACCAACAACATAGGCCAGATGGAGTCCCATCCTGGATCTATAGGTCTGTAGTATTAAATTTAACTTTTTGTCTCCAAGGCTTCTTATTCAATGTTTTTTTTTGGTTTGTTTGTTTGTTTTTGCAATTTTAATGGCTTTTTAATATTACATACCTCCTACTTTGTACTCTCTCTCTAGTCATTCATGCAGATATTCTATTTTCAAGTAGTTTGTATTTTTATATAAAAAATCACATGGTATTCAGGAAAACATGGTTTATAGTTGAACAAAATTCCAATCACTTATAACAGAGTAAAATGGCATTTGAAAGACTGGAGTCATATTTACATATTTATAAGATGCATTAAATGAAAAAAATGAAGTAGGCAAGATGTTCATCCCACATTCCAGAAGGCCTTTATATGATTAGAAACTGGATATGGGATTAAAAGCATATAAACAGCTTTCCTGGCGCATATATATATCTGTGCTAAGTTTTAAATATACAAGAATTCATCCCAATGGTTAGATACATTTAAGATACATTTCTTTTGTTCACTGATGGTATAAATGAATAACAGTATAGAATCATTATGAAAATAGCATGCCTATTTTTTCTCCTTTTTTGTTGTTATAAACTCATACTGTTTTATTACAACAAAAGAAAAAGAAAGCACCATTCTTGTTTAAATAAGATTTAAATGTACAGTGATTCCCCACCAAATTGTAAAACTATTTGAAAGAATAAAGCTCACCACGCTGTCGTATCCCATTTCCAGTTAAATAAATTCTCCCTCCAGCAACAAATGCAAGACAAAAGAGAAAAAACCAGCCTGTACATCTAATCAGATGTAAGCCAGAATCAGCACCAGTATATGTTCTGGTTGCTCTACTGCCAAATAATTATTTGATATTCAGAAATATTATTTCCCTATAGAACTGAGGAAAGAGTTTTTGAAAATCTGCTCAGGTCTGGCGTGGACAACGCCCAGAAGGAGCAGGAATGTCCAGTATTCTGCGCCGATCTTCATATTCATCAGTGTCTGTCGAATCCTCATCCTCATCCATAGGACACTCATTATGATTGGTTTCCTAAATAGGAGAATTAGAACAGCACAAATTGAGATGAAGTTTAATTTCAAAACCACCTCTGCTAAATATGGCTCCAATTTATGCTTCCAGCCCATCTAGTGTTGCTTTCACTGGTGATGATACAACTCAGCCTAGTTTTTCACAAATATTTAATTCAGCAAACAGCTTGTAATCTTCCTGGATACTCACTGTTACATCTGAAAGAGTTATTTCATGTGTTAGGAGCCCTATCTGTGACTATTTAAAGGCATATTAAATATTATTACTCAAATACTGTAATCTGTACAAAAACTCTATTAATTTGTGTGCACAGGAGGTTAAACTACTGAGCTGCTGAACTTGCTGACCGAAAGTTTGGCAGTATGAATCCAGGGAGTGGGATGAGCTCCCACTGTTAGCCCGAGCTTCTGCCAACCTTTCAGTTTGAAAACATGCATATGTGAGTAGATCAATAGGTACCGCTTCTGCGGAAAGGAAATGGCACCCCATGGAGTCATGTCAGCCTCATGACCTTGGAGGTGTCTATGGACAATGGCGACTTTTCAGCTTAAAATTGAGATGAGCACCACCCCCCAGAGTCAGACATGACTAGACTTAATGTCAGGGGAAAATCTTTACCTAAGGATGTGCCTTCAAGTTGCCTGATGATTTATGGTGACCCTGTGAATTTCACAAAGTTTTCATAGGCAAGATGTTGCTCTTATTTTACAGTAGTTCTTGTCAAGGGGTTAGAATCCAAATCCAAATTCATTCTCTATGCACACTTTTCTTTAATGAGAGCAGGGCAATTTAATGTAGATGGCTCAATTCATATATAGAATGATAATGTTATTCTGTGGAAGAATCTGACCTATCTATATTGCTTCCATAAAAATCCCTGTATGACTGATTGTATTCCTGGATTCATCATATGAAGCCTATACCTGGCAATCTGTAGACAAAATAGGGCACATCAATATGACAGGTTATGCCAAAATGAAAAAGACTGACTAGTGAATATTGTTTCTATAAGTGTGCACTTAATTATACTTACACATATTCACAAAATATACTACTGCAGCAGTATCAAATATATCTGCTGTAACATTGCACAAATTAGATCCTTTCCTATATGAGTGTTGCCCGCATATGCCACTTTCAGAATTCTTTTTAAAATCACTTCTATAGTGATTATATGTGCTGGACCACTCTCACAACCACCATGCTGGACCACTCTCACAACCACCATGTCAGGCTACACAGAGAAGCCATTGAAATCCACAAGCATGTGGACAATTTCAACAGAAAGGAAGAAACCATGAAAATGAACAAAATCTGGCTACCAGTATTAAAAAACTCTAAAATTGCAACAGCACAACAACAGAGAGGGACATCTAATTACCTCTCAACAAAAGTTTGCCCCAGGCGCAGTCAGACCATTGTATGCTAATCAAGGTGGTCAGTTGAAACATTCACACCTAGCTCCAGCAGAGAAGAGCCCTTTGTCTCGCCCTGGTCATTCCACAGATATATAAACCCTTTTGCCTAGTTCCAACAGACCTCACTACCTCTGAGGATGCTTGCCAAAGTGCAGGCGAAACGTCAGGAGAGAATGCCTCTAGACCATGGCCATACAGCCCGAAAAAACCTACAACAAACCAGTGATTCCGGCCATGAAAGCCTTCAACAATACATTTTAAAACTCTTGAAAATGATTCCATCCATTTCACTCAAAGCATATTAATTTTTCTCCTAAAAAGACAAATGTAACAGTTTACTGGGAAAATGACATCAGCAATATAGGTTAGGAATAGCAGTTTGAAACTTACCATGCGTGCTACAGATACTTTGAATGTTGGGCAAACCATATGAAATCTAGGAATGGTGACATTAAAAAATTTATCTTTGTAGTAAAGGCAATGGAATGTATAGTATCCTTCCATGTATCCAGAAGTAGTGGCAAATGTTGTGCAGCTGGTATATTCGTAAACTCTACCAGGACTGATGATTGGAAATTCTCCTGCGGAAACAAAGTTGCAAAAGAATTCAATTTTAGAACAAAAATATTCCAATTAGGGTAGAATTAAATGTGTTAATAAAACTGACTAGTTGAACAAATCACTTTTATGTTGCATGGGGAAATGTAGTCACACACTACAACACATCAGCTTAGAGATGAAAACTGACCTGAAAACAGTATCTGCACATAATGGATAATTTTTGGCAGAATCTATGGCAGAGTCTGATCTAGATTTGTGCCCTATTCTGTTTTGTTTGGTTCCTTTTAAAAGGGGCAATTAGAAAAATAATCTGGCATTTCAAACAAGCATACATTCAATCCCAAAATACTTCCCCAATTAGGAAAGATCTTGAAATACCCCTTACCTACTACTCCAGGACCTTGAACTTCCTCAACTTCACCTTTGGCATTGGTTATTCTCCAGTACCGACTGTCTAACTGACAGGTCTTCTCTGGCAGTGCATCTTTGGACATCTCAATTCTAACAAATTGCACAAAACTTATTTAAGTGATCTCTCACACAGTAAAGCAGCAATTACAAAAATTCCTGTGGCATTCATAAACTACTGTTTGGAATTTCTAGAGTCATGGAGAAAAGGGAAGAAATTGTTTTCTGAAGAATTATCTAAACAGTCAATCTAAATGTCTCCTACAATATTTGAGGAGGAGAACAGAGGACATTCAAGAGAATGAAGGGAAAAAAGAATTAGAAAAAAAAATCAAAGAATTGGCATTGTTGTCAGAATACAGAATTCTTCACTGGTCTATATTGCCTTTTCTATAAATCACAACAAAACAAAACTACAGAACCTATTTTGTTCATAACTTGGGGACTGCCTGTACATCTAAGTACATTTCAAGAACACGAAGATAATAGTATGGCGATACTCAATAACTGGCTATGGCATCTGTGCAGTTTAATTAAATACAATTATTAGTGGGCCATAAAGTTGTGCTCTTCTCCAAAAGAAGAATACAACAACTTCAGAAATTCGACAATCCAGCACAAAAAATATTACTTTGAGAAGACAGATCATGATGGAAAATTCACCATCTGGAATGTTCCATACATGAGGAATATGGACCACAAAACGGAACAAAGAGGAGAATCCAAAGCAGAAGTCATTTCGGTGCTTAGAGAAGCCTTGCACAAACCAGGCAACATTTCCCTTCTCTTACTTTAAAATGCTCACGGTTCTAAATATAACATCATGCTAGAGCACATCTGCAATGCGACTTTGTTCCATTCTATTCCTGGAATCCCCCTGGGCTATATGAAAACCTACTCCAGGGTCAAAAAGTTACTACCTATATGTCCCCTGGCCAGAGTGAAGCCTACATCTGAGGCACTCTGGTCAGGTCCAACAACCAACGAACCAAAGTTTGAACTCATTAGCTGCTGGTTCTTGCCTTCCCTTTCAGAACCACAGTAGAGCATGCAGGGCCCTGGGAAGAGGGTGCCATAATGGCACAAAGTTGGTGGCCCACTCTGGATCTCAGTTGGCTTGGGTCTGATCTGCCTGCAATTGTGCCACACATGCAACCAATTGTGAGAGATGCGCAGGGAGGTGGGATACAGCCTCCCCCGTTTCTATTGATAGAAAGAGTTCATAAGTGGAAACAGGTCCCGCCTGTATATTGCGATTACGAGAATACTAGTTTATATTTTATGCAATTCCTTTTCTAATAAAATAAAGCAAAAAATTCTCATCATGCCATTAACATGTTGATAGAATTAACAAAATAGTTTAATTACTCCTACCTTATTCGGTAAGTGAAGAAATAATGAGGTGGATGTACAGAACTGAGTTCAGGCAAAAATGATGTGGAGACTGAGACAGTAATATCTCCTGTTGTTGCCACACAATCTTTATCATGAACATATCTACACAAAGAAAAGAAATCTCGTGTCCTCATCAGAAAATTTAAGGCAGAGATAACAAATGCAGGACTCTTTAGTCCACAGCAATGAACACTAGGAACTCCAGTCAAACATTTGGAGGACCACATGATATTAAGGGGGAAATATACATTCAAACATAAATGGGGATACTATAAATGACAATTTACACATTAAAATTTAAACATGGTACAGATTGAGCCAAGCCAGCATAAAAAGTCACAATAAAAACACACCTACATTCCTGCTAAATTTAGGTCAGTACTCATAATAATAAATAATAATAAAACTTTATTTATACCCCGCTACCATCTTCCCATGGGACTCGGTGCGGCTTACATGAGGCCGAGCCCAATACAACAATACAAGCAATAATAACAACAATACAAGCAATTAAAATCAAACATAGACAATAAAACAATAACGTAAACATTAACAATAAGACAACACATTATTAAAATCTATGGGAAGGCCAAATGTAAATTGAAATTAAAAAATGCTCATACTTATCTACCAAGGATAATGTGTACATGTTATCTATGAAGTCTAATCTAATGACCTTATATTCTAATGCAGATGTTCTTAACCAAAGGTCCTTGGACCCTTTGGGGGTCTGTGGAAATATTTCATATCATCTGTAAGTTTGTTTTTTTTAAAGAACTCATTATCTTTGTTTTCTATGAGATCTAACTGAAATCTAGCATTTTTTTCACTTATGAATGTACGCAATAAATTACAGTAGCATTAATTTCATATCACATATGAAACTTTGTATCACATTACTATTACTCCATATCTTGAAATTTTATGAATAATCTTAAAATGAAATTTAAAGACATTCCGATATTGAGTGTCATAAAACTATCTGAAGGGATCTACAATTTTTATTGAATTGGCAAAGAGGTTTATGGAACAAAAAGGTTTAAGGTTCCCTGTTCTAATGGCCATCTCTTCATATCAAATGAATCACAAATACTTGCAAAGGCAATGTTTTATAATGATATAGCAAGTAATATAAATATGCATTCTTTTTTAAAAGGACTAATGGATCCCGACCACTAGATGAGTCTGTAGTTGTTTCAGGCCTCTCCAGTGGCAGTGTTGTGAAAGCTGTACAGTTTTACCACTGCTTGGCTGTACAGATCTGAAAATACACATCTCATCAGAAAGCTGGGCAAGGGAATAAAAACCACAGCCAAGCCACATTTAACAAGTGAAGCACAGTGTTTTGTTTTGTTTTTTACATCTTGAACTATTTGTGAATGATTCCCCTTTCAGTTACCCAAAGACATATTGAAATAAAACACATTTTTTTCTTTTTCCATCATATTCCACCAGTTGTTTTGGGTTGGAAACTGAGGATCAAGCACCGAATGCTCATGAGAACAAAATGCCTCATGTAAGCGTATAATGACTCATGTGAGTGTTTCTTTGGCTGGAAAATTTATAATGAACAGCACTTATACATTTGTATGCAAGTAGTTAATACATGGGTTAAGAAACAGTAATGTGACCAAGTGTGCCTCTCAAATTGTATTCACTATCAGACTTACCCGTATTTACTCAAGTCTAATGTGCCATCAAATCTAATGCGCACCTCAATTTTCAAAACCCTCCCTGAAATCCAAAAGAGTATTTACCGTATCATGCGAATCTAATGTATGCCCTAATTTTGGGAAGGCAATTTAGTCAAAAAAGGTGAGAGTTAGAATTGAGTAAATATGGTAATTCAAGGTGGGTAACACTATGTAACACAATGTTTTGGTCCTGGGTTATATACATGTCATTTCTAATTGGTTCTATCATAAAAACATGGAAAAGGTTTTTTAAACTGCAAAAGCTTTGTTTTTAGGGGACATCCTGGAGCACATTTTGCTATAGTTTTTCAATGAATATCTCAGAGTCTAAACCAATTCAACATAGTTTGTGGCAGCCACAAAAACAAAGTTTCTGGAGCAGAACAACTACTTTCAAAGTATGTACAGCACAATTAAACAGAAATTAACACTTTCAAAGCAAGAACATACTTTTTCCATTTCTGTTACATAGTCGTATCAGTGGCTGAAATTACAAACTTCTTCCAGGAGCATTTTTAATTTCATAGACTATTGCTGGCCACTTTCAGAGACGATGCTAACAATTCATATTCTATATAATCCTTTATATTTAGCACTTACATATTATTCACAGTTTATCTTGAAGAAGACAAAGAATTGGATTTTGCGTCTTTTAGACTACTACTACTACTACTACTACTAATAATAATAATAATAATAACTTTATTTTTATCCCCTGCCTCCCCAATGCTAGATTTCAGTTAGAAATGCTAGATTTCAGTTAGATCTCAGAGAAAAATATTTAGAAACTGCTCTCCCCAAAGGGACTTGGGATGGCTTACACATGGGACAAAATGTCCACAGAACATCAAAACAAAACAAGCCATTAAAAACAAAAAGCACGATAAAAATAAAACATAGCAGAGCATAACAGTCAAATAAAACACAATTAAATAAAACCTAAGGGTATAAAACATCAGCATTAAAACTCACTCAAACCATACACAACAAAAACCAATATGCCAGGTTCTGAAGTATTTAAGGAAAATACATTGTTAATTCTTTAACACTCAATTATACCTGCTACAACATTAAAAATTCTAATTTGTATACATTTATGATCATTTTGTTTCGTCTCAGTTGGAAATGACAGATCAAGTACTATGAAATAAAAGACATACCTGAAAATCTGATCTCGGATGATGGGATAGCCACCTGTTATTACATTGTTTACATAGGAGGTGAACCATTCCAAATAGGAACTACCTAAATGATAGAGAAAAAGATTTTACAAGAAAGCTAAACAAACAAACAAACAGTTAGTCAATCCATTGGAAGGTCTCTATAAATATCTTTTTTTAAAAAATCAACTCTGTCTTGGTGAAGTAGCAAATATATATCATTTCCATAACAAAAGCTGTTCCTAAGAACAGGAGAGGAAGTGGTGCTATCACAGACATGGCAAGAGTTTCTGTGGACACTTGAGAAAAATATTAGCTCATAAATTAAATTAAAAAGAATAGTCCAATAAGGACTGAGAAATATTTTAATTTCCCAAAATGAATTGTAGCAATCAACAAAGTTCAAAACAAGATTACAATTAAACATGTCCTCCCTGTGATATTTTCCATTTCAGTTCTAAAATATATATTTTACCTGTAATAAACATATCAATTGCAGAGGGACTTCGTGCCATTTGATCCTTTAAACAAAAAGAAAAAGTACATTATTTATACCCAAAGACATGTGATTTCTACTATCAAATACTGAGCTTTCTCTGAAGAATCTACAGATGGATTTTAGACCTGGCTTCTCCAACAATAGCAATAAAAGAGCAGAAGTTTGTGAAGACTTCACAAGCAAATGGAAGTTTCAAAATGTAGCTAAATTTGGTTGTCATTCTAGTTTCATGAAAACATATTATGAAGGCATCAGGAATAGCCAATCATTTTTTTAAAACAACTGTTCACTTTCATTCTAGAGGAAGTCAGATGAAGACAAATTTCTATCAAAAATAATTTGTGATGTTTCATCTCTTTAGAATATATCTTTGTATGTTACGATTTGCTATGTACTAAGAAACATATAAAACATTCACAAATTTTAGTTAAGAATTTATCACTGATTCTTTAATATTGCAGCAACTTGCAAGCATCTTCATAATATTACATATTAGATCCAAAGTTATATTTAAGGAATACAACTAACTTCTTGGTATTGCAAAGATGAAAAAAAGTTGTACTACAGTATGTTTGGGAAATGGAAGCTTGGTTTCCAGGCCAACAGGAATGATTTTGTAAATGGAAAGGCACATGTCCCTGTCCTACCAACCCCATACTTTTAAGGGGTCTAAAACCAGATAGCCTGTTTACTTGCACATTTAAATGTATGGTCTGAAAAGAATAAATTACTGAAAATATACCTTATCTAAAAGTCTGACTGATAAAAATACCATAATGCACCACAAATTCTTATATATGATTTAAAATCAAAAATTACATCTTAATAGGTTTGCAAGAAACCTAAAATTTAATAGTCAAGGTTGAATCATATGTATCCCCACCACCAAGATATTATTGTGTTATTATTAGTGTTTTCAAATAGCACTGCTAACCAATGTTGTACTATAATTTCACTGCATAAGCTACAGAACAGATAACCCTTATACAGATCAGTAAAGAGGTTTCTACAGGCTACAGATTGGGTTGAAGATAAGGTTATCAATATAATATTAAATACCTTCAAGAATGGGAATTCTTGAAAAATCAAGGAAAACCCAAAATTACATATATCATTATATGTCAAAGACTTAAAGGTAAGATCTGGGAAGCTTAATCAGTAAGCATAATCTTGCTTCCCTCTATGAGGCTGTAAAATTATGTGAAGTGTTCTTTCTGCCATCAAATTAAGCTTCTTTCACAGCAATTACAGCCATTTGTAACATTTCTTTGCTATTTCCTTTCTTCAGTTAGAATATGTGAACATTCCTGTGACCTTTAGCCTTTGATGGGAAAGGGGCTCACAGATGAAAAACAACTTGACTTGAAACAGTCTACACAGAGAGTCATGATGTGCCTACCATATACTGCATCAATTTCATCTTACTGAAGCAGGTGAGCATCATTAGTGTTGTCTAAAGGATCTATTTAGAAGTCTTTCTTACTGGACATTGGTAGAAGATCTCATAACTACTGCGACCCTCCACGCTCTCCAAAGCCATGTACTGACTCAATCCGGTGTGAATGCAAAAGGTTAAGGGGAGGCACTGTTTCAGTCCTAGCCGCTGCTGAAAGCCACCAGCTGCCGTGTCAATGTCCAACAAATCCTCAGAGCGATAGTGATTGGAAAGTGCCATGCTTCCCATCAACCTATGTACCAACAAAAAGAAAAGAAAAAGTATTTTAATGGAGGGGGGGGGGGGGAACTGGTAAGAAAAATACTATATTTACTTGAGTCTAATGTGCACCTTTTTTGGCTAAGTTAGATTGCCAAAATTAGGATACACAATAGTTTTGCATTTTATGGTAATCTTAGTGCTGAAACAAAGCAAAAGGGGAAGCTGCTTCAGGAGTGACATGAAGCTTGAAACATGCAGCAGCCATAAGAAAAACATAGGCAAGGTTAGACTGCTACTAATGGCTAAGTCATGGTGCAGGCGAAGCCAAAGGGAGGACTGGGAGGTGGGGAATAAGCCCAGCCCTGAAAAGGAGGGAGGGGAATGGAAGGGAGGAGCAGCAGCAGCTGTGGCCAAGCTGGGCCTCACAAAGTAATTTTTTCCAATTCCTTCATCTGAAATACAGCCCATACCAACCTATAACCTATGGCAGTGACACGTTTCCAAGATCAGATATGATTTGCCTCACCACACTTTAAAGCCACCTGTAGGATTATGGAGCTTGTCTTTTAGGGAGGTCCAGGACTTTTCTGCCTGAGAATGATAAAGGCCTCTCCCTAAACTACAAACCATAGAATTCTGCAGGAGGCAGCCAAGGGATTGAAAGTCAGCGTACACTTTAAATCCTACTTTTGAAAGTGCAGTGTGATGCTACTTAGTCCCCATAATGGGACTTACTTCCAATAAGTCAGAGGAGCTTTTCTCATGAGATTTACTTGAGATTCCTTTTGCATACATGGTGGTACATAGCTCTTAAGTAGATTTGGGGGCTAAGGTCTAGGGCCCCAGACTAGGCACTGTAGAATTACTTTTAATTGCCATGGCTCAGTACTATGTAATCCAGGCAATTGTAGTTTGCTGAGGCACCAGCATTCTTTGGCAGAGAAGGCTATAGACCTTGTAAAACTACAGATCTCAGGATTTTGAGGTTTAAGAGTTTAGAAAACTGAGGTGAGCATTAAATTTGATGGCACAATAGACTTGAGTAAATACAGTAGTGCTGACAGTTTTAAAGATACAGTTCAAATATATACCTCCTTATATAGATAGGAAGGTGGCCAACTGCTTAACACAAATTACAGGTAATGTTAATTTCTTACCCTGGAACAACTAGCTTTTGTCCATTATGGATCCGAAATGAACAGCGATAGTCATCAGGAAGTTTGCAATGAATTTGTGCTTCCACTGCATCCAACTCTTCCTCCTGTACACTCTCTGTGAATATTTAGAAACTTCATATTTTAGTGGACATTATCAGAGAACATAAACAATGTATGTTATGCAGAGCAATTGAAGACCCAAACTTAAATTCAGAATGAGAAAAGAAAAGCCAGGTACAGTTCCATTGCATCTAGCTGCCACTGCCTTGCTATTGGAGGGAGAGAAGGGACAGTTCAGTGGGGACATGGTATCCACTACAGTTTGGTTTCAGGATCCCTGTGAATACCAAAATCTGTGGATGTCCAAGTCATTAGTAGAATCAATCATACTACTGTCTACACTGTCTTGAAATTCACATTTATAGATACATTATTTCTCAAAATAAGCCTTTAAGGTACAAATGTTTTTTTCTGCCTTTCCTTTCTCTGCTTCTAGACCACAATGTTAAATAAAATGTTCAACTTAATACAATTTCTATTATTTCACAGGACAGAGTGAAATTAAAAGGACAGATCTGTCATACATTCAAACCGGAAGGGACAAACAGAACATCAAATAAAATGTTAGATTATTGGGGGGTTTTTTTGTTTTTGTTTTTTTACTATATTTAACAGCCTAGGATAGTCACTAAAACATTTCCACTTGGGTTTACGAATAAAATGGAGAAAAAATTACTTAGAAAGAATGATGTTCTAGTGTTTGAAAGATGGCAAACATACCTTTCAAAGAAGTAATCATCCGGGGACAGCGTTGCAACAAGTATTTTTCCAAATCATCCCAAGCCTTTTTAAGTGTAGCATAATACTGAATATATCTGCCCAAATCAGCATAAAAATCAATAAAAATTGCTTTCCAGCTTTTATTTCTCCTGGATTTCTCAGCTCTAAAAAAGCACAGAAGAGCACATGTCATTTGCAAACGTACCAATCAGCAGTGAAAAATGTAGAAAAGCTGTTAATGTTGTTGTTTATATATTCTTTTGGACTCACAAGTTTACCACATGTTTAAAATAATGAATATAGGAAAAAATCAATCTTTCAAAGTGAAACAAATCCATATTAAAGAAACAAATCCATATTAAAGAAAGAAGAATAAGGACAGTGCTAAATTTCTAAGAGGTTTTTTTCTAGCAGAGTGTTAATGCAGCCTTATTAAGATATAATATATAACCTTTTGTGAATATTTCAAAAATGTGTGAAACAGATGAAAACATAAATTGGATTATAACCCAATTCTGTTTAGTATGTATGTATGAGATGTTAGATCATCATTAAGGAAACAACAATACTTCATCACTTTTCATAGAAATAATCCCCTTACTTAGATAAACCAAGCTTACAGAAAAGTCAATGCCAACCAAAGACTGAGCAGAAAAAAAGGTCTTGAAAAGCAAATGGTGCCATTTTGAACTGACAATTTGTGCACTAGTTAAGCGATTAACTAAATTACTGTTACATCTGGTTTTAATCCAATAAATGATATATTTCAGCAAAGTCTGTACTTTAAGCGGTGCAAATTAACCAGGAAATACATTGCTATGAAAAAACGAGTAAAGTGATACTGTTTTCTTCAATTCTAAGATAAACTGTTTCCCTATATAAACATTTCTAAAAACAGGACTACCTTAGAATCACAGGTGGTCTTAATGTATATTTTTAGTGGTGATAGTACTGAAATTAAGATGCATCTTACAATCAATGATGTCTTACAATTGAATAAATAAGTTAATGAATTCATGTCACAACTATGGGAGGATGTGTAACAGGTGACCTTGTACTGCCATCTAGTGTTAGCTATTGATCAAAAAACTCAAGGCATCTTTAAGTCAGACAGACCTTGAGGCTGCCTTCAAACAGGTAACACTACACAACACTATTACTGTTCTTGGGTTATAAATGTCATTTCCTAATTGGTTATGTCATAAAAACATGAAAAAGATTACTCAACTGCAAAAACATTGTTTTTGCGTGTCATTCTGCAGCACGTTTTGCTATAGTTTTTCAATGAATATCTCATAGTCAATTCAACACAGTTTTCAATGAATATCTCATAGTCAATTCAACATAGTTTGCGGAAGCCACAAAAATGAAGTTTCTGGAGTATAACAGCTACTTCCAAAGTAAGTAAAGCACAATTAAACAGGAATAACACTTTCGAACCAGGAACGTATTTTTTTCAAATTTTGATACATAATGTAATCATTCTCCACAAAGGAAGGCATGTAATCATATATTGCATGCCATTTTGGAGCTTAAAACATCCATGTATCAGCCATACTTACTCAGTCAAAAGCCAATATTTCTTGCAATGCCTCCTCCACAATGGGTCATGACTTGAAAGCTGATTTAATCTACGATTTACACAACAGCAGCTGAAAATACAAATTACACATGAACAATGAAGCTGAAGAAATCAAAATGGAAAATTTGAAATTGACACTAATATGAATATAATATGAATGTCTCTAAATGAATGCATGCTCTAGCTTAGTAATACCACATGAGTGATAATGCCTCCTGTGGATTGCTAGAACAACAGCTGCCAGGCAGAATGCGTCCCGGGCATCAGCAATGCAGCCACCGGTACAACAATGCAGCCACCGGTACAATGTCAACCCTCTCCCCTCAGGTTGGGATCAAGAGAAGAGTCAAGCCCAAGTGTCCAGACCCCACTGATACCTCCTCTTTGTCCAAAGTGCTGCTGGGAAGAGAGAGGGCACAGGTGAGGCTGTCCCTCTTCTGCCTAGCAGTTCAGGCTCCCTTGGGCAGTGCACGGAGTCCATGTGTGCCCACTTGGTGGTACCAGGGAATGAGTGCACTAAGGCCCAAGGAGTGAGAAGGCTTCATGGCTATGGAGAGTGCAGAGGAAGCCTTGTGCTCAGGCTACAGGTGGGATGCCAAAGGTTCTGTGGAAAGGTTCCCTAAGAGCAAGGTGTCTCTGGCCCCCGCCCTGGGCATGTGGCCCAAAGAAGTCCAGCCTATTTTAATTCTGGCCCTTTGACTGTCACATTATGCTAACATTACCTTTTATTGCAGGCATCCTCAAACTGTGGCCTCCAGCTGCTTGGGCCTTCAACTCCCAGAATTCCTGACCATTGAACAAGCTAACTAGGGCTTCTGGGAGTTGGAGGCCCAAGAAACTGGAGGATGTCTGTTTTACTGCATAGTACTAGACTGATACTGTCACCTCAAAAGTCTTAATGTCCACAAATTTCAGCTGCTAAATACAATTTTAATTGGGATTTCTGTTGTAGTTATTTTATTTTTGTATTTGTAGTCAAAAGAATCTTGAGTGTTTTAAGAAACTGAAAGATGATGCAAATGATCTGGTGTGGGTATCAGGTAAAAATTAGTCAATTCCTCATTGAATGGAAGGAGGAATAAGAAGTACACACTTATTTGATCTTATCCATGAAGGCCCAGTGGAGGTAGTGATATCTTCAGTGGTAAGGGCAGAATGTAGAATTTACATTTTGCCACAAAATAGCCAGAGACTTCATCTGAGAACATCCAGGTAAGATGAAGCAGAAACATGTATACAAGGAGAGAGAAGAGTGGAAGGACTTGACATAAAAATCTACACACAGTTAAGAGCAAACACAGGCATGGCCTGGAATGTCCCAGAGGCAAATTTACATAGAGGAGGAGGAAATGGAAAGTTTAAGAGAAACCCAATTAAAGTGTGGTAGTCCCTGGCATCACGGAATGGAAGGCAAACATTTGTTTACTACTCCAGGTTGGAGAGTGTTGAGGGGGCACCATGGAAAACATAAAACTTTGGGGGATCTATAGCAGGTGTGGGCAAACTTTGGCCCTCCAGTTGTTTTGGATTTCAACTCCTGGAATTCCTAACAGCCAGTAGGCTGTCAGGAATTCTGGGAGTTGAAGTCCAAAACACGTGGAGGGCCAAATTTTGCCTATGCCTGAGCTATAGCATCCAATTTCATGTGGTTACTACTTCAGTCTAATAAGGAGTCTGAAAAATATGATACACTCACAAGATACATGAAGACTGACAGAAAAACAACACTGATCAACTGCCTGACTTTCAAAGCACACAAACTATGTTTAAGCAGCTTTAACAGTGATACACTCCAGGGATAGATCTAATAACAGTTCAATTTCAGAAGCACATGCCTATTTATTTATTTATTTGCTTTATTTCTATACCGCATTTTTCAGCCCATAACAGGCGACTCAAGGCGGTTTGCATGGTACAATTATCAAACAGTGTCAGTGCAATTAAAACATAACAATGCAACAAACAGGATCAACAGCATCAATCCACAACAATTAACAATCAAACAAGACAAATCAACAAAACAAACATAACATAACGCCTCAGTTGAAATCAGATCCGTTCTCATAATCCTTGTGCCATTCCTATGTTCCATTTACCGTCTTCCTTTGATTGGTTGCACTGCTTAACCAAACGCTTGTTCATAAAGCCAGGTCTTAACCATTCTCCGAAACGTCAGCAGCGAAGGTGCCTGTCTGATGTCTGCCGGTAGGGCATTCCATAGCCGAGGGGCCACCACTGAGAAGGCCCTGTCTCTCGTCCCCGCCAAGCGCGCCTGTGACGCAGGCGGGATCGAGAGCAGGGCCTCCCCAGACGATCTTAATGTTCTAGTCGGTTCATAGGTGGAGATGCGTTCGGAGAGGTGAGTGGGGCCAGAACCGTTTAGGGCTTTATAGGCTAAAGCCAGCACCTTGAATTGTGCCCGGTAGCGGACTGGCAGCCAGTGGAGCTGGCTCAACAGAGGAGTGGTATGCTCCCTGAGTGCCGCTCCCGTTAGCAACCTGGCTGCCGAGCGCTGGACCATCTGAAGCTTCCGGGCAGTCTTCAAGGGCAACCCCACGTAGAGCGCGTTGCAGTAATCAATCCGGGATGTAACCAGAGCGTGGACTACTGTGGCCAAGTCAGACTTCCCAAGGTACGGGCGCAACTGGCGCACAAGTTTGAGTTGTGCAAATGCTCCCCTGGACACCGCCGAAACTTGGGGTTCCAAGCTTAGCGAAGAGTCCAGGATCACACCCAAGCTGCGAACCTGCGTCTTCAGGGGGAGTGTAACCCCGTCTAACACAGGCTGTAACCCTATACCCTGTTCGGCCTTTCGACTGACCAGGAGTACCTCTGTCTTGTCTGGATTGAATTTCAATTTGTTCACCCTCATCCAGTCCGACACAGCGGCCAAGCACCGGTTCAGGACCTGGACAGCCTCCTTAGTAGTAGGTGGGAAGGAGTGACAGAGTTGGACGTCATCTGCGTACAGATAACACCGCACCCCGAAACTCCGGATGATCTCTCCCAACGGCTTCATGTAGATGTTAAATAACATGGGGGACAATATTGAGCCCTGCGGGACCCCACAAGACAATGGTTGTGAGGTAGAGCAGTTGTCCCCCAGCAACACCTTCTGAGTACGATCCTCTAGGAAGGACCTGAGCCACTGCAGAACAGTGCCACCAAGGCCCATTCCCGCGAGGCGTCTCAGAAGGATACCGTGGTCGACGGTATCGAAGGCCGCTGAGAGGTCCAGCAGAACTAACAGGGACACACTCCCCCTGTCTAGCTCCCTATTCCAGTAGTTTATGCCAAGGAAACTAGAAAGATATGGTAAAAAAGATGTGCAGCTGCTGCAATGTTAAGATTTAATATCTCCTGAAGAGAAACATTTACCTTGAGAAGCAGCCTTGTGCACCATGGGAAGACTATCTCACTGACAATGTTGTGACAAAACTAGTTGAACTGTACTGCCAGAATAGAGTGAAATGTGTTAGGAGACTTTTTTTAACCAGGTAACCTAGAATTAGCAGAAGATCTGCTAATCACAGACCTTATGTATGTAGGTACCATTTGGTAGAATAAACCTCATCCCATCATAGAATCATAGAATCATAGAATCAAAGAGTTGGAAGAGACCTCATGGGCCATCCAGTCCAACCCCCTGCCAAGAAGCAGGAATATTGCATTCAAATCACCCCTGACAGATGGCCATCCAGCCTCTGTTAAAAGCCTCCAAAGAAGGAGCCTCCACCACACTCCGGGGCAGAGAGTTCCACTGCTGAACAGCTCTCACTGTCAGGAAGTTCTTCCTCATGTTCAGATGGAATCTCCTCTCTTGTAGTTTGAAGCCATTGTTCCACGTCCTAGTCTCCAAGGAAGCAGAAAACAAGCTTGCTCCCTCCTCCCTGTGGCTTCCTCTCACCTATTTATACATGGCTATCATATCTCCTCTCAGCCTTCTCTTCTTCAGGCTAAACATGCCCAGCTCCTTAAGCCGCTCCTCATAGGGCTTGTTCTCCAGACCCTTGATCATTTTAGTCGCCCTCCTCTGGACACATTCCAGCTTGTCAATATCTCTCTTGAATTGTGGTGCCCAGAATTGGACACATATTCCAGGTGTGGTCTAACCAAAGCAGAATAGAGGGGTAGCATTGACTTCCCTAGATCTAGACACTCTGCTCCTATTGATGCAGGCCAAAATCCCATTGGCTTTTTTTGCCGCCACATCACATTGTTGGCTCATGTTTAACTTGTTGTCCACGAGGACTCCAAGATCTTTTTCACACGTACTGCTCTCGAGCCAGGCGTCCCCCATTCTGTATCTTTGCATTTCATTTTTTCTGCCAAAGTGGAGTATCTTGCATTTGTCACTGTTGAACTTCACTTTGTTAGTTTTGGCCCATCTCTCTAATCTGTCAAGATCGTTTTGAATTCTGCTCCTGTCCTCTGGAGTATTGGCTATCCCTCCCAATTTGGTGTCGTCTGCAAACTTGATGATCATGCCTTCTAGCCCTTCATCTAAGTCATTAATAAAGATGTTGAACAGGACCGGGCCCAGGACGGAACCCTGAGGCACTCCACTTGTCACTTCTTTCCACGATGAAGAGGAAGCATTAGTGAGCACTCTCTGTGTTCGTCCACTTAACCAATTACAGATCCACCTCACCGTAGTTTTGCCTAGCCCACATTGGACTAGTTTCCTTGCCAGAAGTTCATGGGGGACCTTGTCGAAGGCCTTACTGAAATCCAGGTACGCTACATCCACGGCATTCCCCGCATCTACCCAGCTTGTAGCTCTATCGAAGAAAGAGATCAGATTAGTCTGGCATGACTTGTTTTTGATAAATCCATGTTGACTATTAGCGATGATCACATTTGTTTCTAAGTGTTTGCAGACCACTTCCTTAACAATCTTTTCCAGAATCTTGCCCGGTATCGACGTGAGGCTGACCGGACGGTAGTTGTTTGGGTCATCCTTTTTTCCCTTCTTGAAGATTGGGACCACATTGGCCCTCCTCCAATCTCCTGGAACTTCTCCCGTTCTCCAAGAACTCTCAAAGATGGTTGCCAATGGTTCCGAAATGACTTCCGCTAGTTCCTTCAATACTCTTGGGTGTAGTTGATCTGGCCCTGGGACTTGAACTCATTTAGAGCGGCCAGGTATTCCTGGACGACTTCTTTCCCAATTTGGGGTTGGATGTCCTGCAATCCCTCATCCACTCCATCTTGCTGAGGTTGAAGACTCTCTTTTTGTGAGAAGACCGAGGCAAAGAAGGCATTAAGTAGTTTGCTGCCTTTTCCCTATCCCCTGTCAGCATTGCCCCATCTTCTCCTCGAAGAGGTCCTATCGCCTCCTTGTTTTTCCTTTTTCTACTGACATAAGAATAGAAGCCCTTTTTATTGTTTTTAATGTCCCTGCAAGTCTGAGCTCGTTTTTTGCTTTAGCCTTGCGGACCTTTTCCCTACAGGTGTTGGCTATTTGTTTGAATTCTTCTTTGGTGATTTCTCCCTTTTTCCACTTCTTGTGCATGTCTCTTTTGTGTCTTAGCACAGTTAGAAGTTCTTTGGACATCCATTCTGGCTTCTTTGCACTTGTCCTATTTTTTCTCTTTGTTGGCACGGTTTGCAATTGCGTCTTGAGTATTTCACTCTTGAGAAATTCCCATCCATCCGTAACTCCCTTGTCTTTTAGTATCTGTGTCCACGGAATGCTGCTCAGTGTTTCCTTCATTTTTTGGAAATCAGCTCTCCTAAAGTCCAGAATGCGGGTTTGACTTGTCTTAGTTTCGGCCTTCCTTTGTACCTCAAATTGCAGGAGCACATGGTCACTTGCCCCTAATGATCCTACCACTTCGACCGCATCGATCAGGTCCTCCGCATTTGTTAGGATGAGATCAAGAGTAGCCAATCCCCTTGTTGCCTCTTCTACCTTCTGGACCATGAAATTGTCTGCAAGGCAAGTGAGGAATTTGTTGGACCTTGTACTCTTGGCCGAGTTTGTTTTCCAGCAAATCACTTAGTTCTGCATTACAGTGATGGAATCACTTTCCATCACTTAGTTCTGCAGTACAGCTGTGAATAAGAAAACCAGCAATGGAGCACCATGTGTTAAAATCTTGCACTGGAAAGGATCACTAAAGCATTCAAGTGACATGCTCTGATTGCCTATCATGTCTGACATGAAGTATGGCACTTTGTTGAGACATATCCCTCAGGACGCAAGGGTTACGTTGATTATTCTTTTTTGACAGAAAGGGACATCCGTCAGCTGCTTAAAACAAATAGTGCACTCTACATGAAAATTTTCTTTCACAAAAATTGCCCTGAGTGTTTGGATATCATGGAATACCCCTTATTTAACACCTACAAACAGGACTATACACATGAGGCGTATCTCCTGAAATATACTGCAATTCCCATACAGGCACACAATATCACAAAAGTCACTCAAAGTTTTTTTCTAATTCATCTGGATGAGGTTCATTATAGCACATGGCTACCATTTCTCATTACAGACTTGTTTTGTATTCATTTCTACAAAAAATTGCCACCTATCTATAGTTTTTCTTTTAAATGTTTATTTTGATAGCCCATTTTATGAATTTAACCCACCAGGACTCTAAGATCTTCTGGGGAGGCCCTGCTCTCGATCCCGCCTGCATCGCAAGCACGGCTGGCAGGGACGAGGGACAGGGCCTTCTCTGTGGTGGCCCCTTGGCTGTGGAACGCCCTTCCCATGGACATTAGATCAGCTCCTTCGCTAATGGTGTTTCGAAGAAAACTAAAAACCTGGCTGTTTGAACAGGCATTCGGATAAACAGTGCAATTGAACGATGAATATAGGAACGGATTTATGGATGACGAATTGGATCACGATTTTAGTTACGAGATGCTAATGTGCTGTTATTGATGTGTCATTATTTGTATACTAGGCTGTTAATGGTTTTAAATATTGTATGTGTGCGATTGACTTTTTTGCTCTTGTTGTGAACCGCGTTGAGTCGCCTACGGGCTGAGAAACTGCGGTATACAAGCAAAGTAAGTAAGTAAATAAATAAATAAATAAAGTCATTTCCTAATTGGCTCTATCATAAAAACACAGAGAAAGTGTGTGGAAGGGCCCTAATTGAGGGACTGTTACTAACCAGGAGATAAGTGGACAATATAAGATCTAGATTGGGGCTAATGGAGGGCCCTTCCACACAGCCCTATATTCCAGATTATCAAGGCAGAAACTCCCACAATATCTGCTTTGAACTGGATTATCAGAGTCCACACTGCCATATATTCCAGCAGTTCAAAGCAGATAAAGTGGGATTTTATTCTGCTGTGTGGAAGGCGGGCCTCCAAGGTCTGGTTCGAGCCAAGCCAGCTCTGACAGCCTCCAGCCCAGACAGAAGGCACACCTGTTGGCGCCTCGGGGAAAGAAACTTGCCCGTCAACAGAGGGGGGGGGTGGGATGTTGGCCTCTACACCACAAAATTAATGCTGTTTGGCACTGCCTTAGGTGCAGTTGCTTAATGCTGTGGAATCCTAGGAGCTACTTTTTGGAGACACAGAGAAAGCCCAAGGCCTTGTAAAGCCATTGTTCCCAAGATTTCACGGCGCTGGCCCCTTCCAGACAGCCCTGTATCCCAGAATATTAATAATAATAATAATAACAACAATAATAACAATAATAATATTCTTTATTTATACCCCGCCACCATTTCCCCAATGGGAACTCGGCACAGTAAAATACAGAATACAAAAATACAAATTACATCAGAAAATAAATTACAACAACAAAATGAAGTAATAAAGCAAATTCACACAATATAAAATCGAACAGGAAGGGCAGGCCAAATGGACAAGATAAAATGATAAAACCCTGGGTAAGTTAGAAATAGGAAATATGTAAGTGAGGGGGCCCAAGAAAATGAAACAGTGGGGTAAGGCTTTCAGTTTAGAATGGGGGAAAGTGTGCCATAGGGGCAACACTATAGAAGGGGCAACGCAAATGGTGTGGATGGTCACTCTCCAAAGGCACATCGGAAAAGCCAGGTTTTCAGATTTTTCTTGAAGTCTGTTAAAATCCCACAATATCTACTTTGAAGTGGGTTATCTGGGTTAACTCGGATAATGTGAGATTTTCTGCCTTGCTATTCTAGAATATGAGAGCCCCCAGTGGCGCAGTGGGTTAAAGCGCTGAGCTGCTGAGCTTGTTAACTGAAAGGTCGCAGATTTTAATCCGAGGAGTGGCATGAGCTTCCGCTGTCATCCCCAGCTTCTGCCAACCTAGCAGTTTGAAAACATGCAAATGTGAGTAGATCAATAGGCACCGCTCCAGAGGGGAAGGTAATGGCGCTCCATGCAGTCATGCCGGCCACATGACCTTGGAGGTGTCTATGGACAACGCCAGCTCTTCGGCTTAGGAATGGAGATGAGCACCATACCCCAGAGTCAGACATGACTGGACTTAATGTCAGGGGACAACTTTTACCTTATTCTAGAACAGTGGTTCTCAACCTGTGGGTCCCCAGGTGTTTTGGCCTACAAATCCCAGCCTGTTTACCAGCTGTTAGGATTTCTGGGAGTTGAAGGCCAAAACATCTGGGGACCCACTGTTCTAGAATATAGGGCTGTGTGGAAGTGCCCCCTAGGCAGTTAAATTGGTGCTAAACGGCATTAGTTGTACAGCAGGCCTGGGCAAACTTGGGCCCTCCCTCCAGGTGTTTTGGACTTCAACTCCAATTCCTAACTGAGGAGAGAGGGCCCAAAACACCTGGAGGGAGGGCCCAAGTTTGCCCAGGCCTGTTCTGCTGTGTGGATGCGCCCCATCGTCGCCCTTCGTGTTCCTCTTGGCCCCCTTTGCCCCCTTTTGGCAGCCTGGCTCCCTACAAAAACACGCCAGCGCCCCTTTCGGCCTCCCCCACACCTGCGGCCTCGGCTCCTTCCCGGAGAAAGAACAGGGATGGCGGTTTCCTCTCCCTCGCTTTCGCCTCCGACGGGAAACTACGGAAAGCGAGGCAGGCCACGCGAGCCCCCTCCCCTCCCCTCCCTCCCTGGCGCCCACCTGGTGAGATCCCTGTAGTCGAGGCAGCTGAGGATGAGGAGGAGAGGGTCGGTGGGAAGCAGCGCCAGGCTCAGCGGGCCCGCGTCCAGCTCTCCGGGCGCCGCCATCTTGCCCCGCCTCTCGCCCGGGCCTCCGCCTCCTGCTCCTCCCTCTGCCGGGACCAGGCCCAAGCGCAGGCCTCCTGCTTGGGCCTTGCTGACCTGGGACGCCTCGGCTCGCTCATGCAGGCCTGGGCAAAGTTGGGGCCTTCCGCCAGGTGTTTTGGACTTCATCTCTCACGATTCCTAACCGCCTCAGGCCCTTTCCTTTTCCCCTCAGCCGCTTAAGCCGCTGAGGGGGAAAAGGAAGGGGCCTGAGGCGGTTAGGAATCCTGAGAGATGAAGTCCAAAACACCTGGGGGAAGGCCCCAACTTTGCCCATGCTTGCCACCCAAGGAGGTCCCTCAGGGCTTCACTCTCCATAAGCTTGTTTGTAAAGCTATTGTCCTCTCAACTATTGTACACCTGCGAAACACAGACTCCGAAACAACATCGCTCTCGACTTCTGGAACGATTCTATCAGCATTAGGTAAAGGTAAAGGTTTTCCCCTGAGTGTCCGACTCTGGGGTGTGATCCTCATCTCCATTTCTAAGCCTAAGAGCCGGCGTTGTCCGTAGACACCTCCAAGGTCTTGTAGCCGGCATGACTGCATGGAACGCCGTTACCTTCCCACCGGAGCGATACCTATTGATCTACTCACATTTGCATGTTTTCAAACTGCTAGGTTGGCAGAAGCTGGGGATGACAGCGGAAGCTCATGCCGCTCCTCGGATTCAAACCTGCGACCTTTTGGTCAACAAGCTCAGCAGCTCAGCGATTTAACCCACTGTGCCACCAGGGTCTCCCTCTATCAGCGTTACATTGGGAAAATCCTGTGAATCTTGCTGGAAGAAGAAGCGAAGACCACCAGCACTGAAGCCGTGATTCTCCACCATCAACTTTACTGGACTGGCCACGTTGTCCAAATCTGTCTACTTCATTGGACTCACCTCGATCGCTGTTTCTGAAAGAATTTGCTCTATTCTCAACTCAAGAACGGAAAAGAGAATGTAAGCGGACAGCAAAAGAGAGTTAAAGATGGCCTAAAAGCTAACCTCTACAAATGTTGTCTAAACTTCTGGATGACCCATGAGGTCTCTTCCAATTCTATGATTCTAAACACTAAGAACTGAGAAGATCTGACCCTCCAGCGTCCTGACTGGATGTCAGTTGTTACTAACGTTATCGATTTTGAAAAGGCACGAATAGATGGCGAAAGGCAGAAACGTGTCAAGAAGAAGGCACATCAAGCCAATACTTTTCATGACTGCCTTCCATCTGGAAATCAATGTCTTCACTGTGAAAGAACATGCAGATCCAGAATAGGTCTCTATGGTCAACTTCTGCTGAACATAGAATCACACATAGAATCATAGAATTGGAAGAGACCTTGTGAGCCATCCATTCCGACACCCTGCCAAATACCAGGAAAATCACATTCAAAGTACCCCTGACAAATGGCCATCCAGACTCTGTTTAAAAGACTCCACCACACTCTGTGGTAGAGAATTCCACTTCTGAACAGCTCTCACATTTAGGAAGTTCTTTCTAATGTTCAGTTGGAATCTTTCCTGTAGTTTGAAGCCACTGTTCTGCGTCCTAGTTTTCAGGGCAACAGAAAACAAGTTCGCTCCCTCCTCCCTATGACTTCCTCTTACATGGCTATCCTGTCTCCTCTCAGCCTTCTCTTCAGGCTAAACATGCCCAGCTCTTTAAGCCACTCCTCATATGGCTTGTTCTCCACACCCTTGATCATTTAGTCTCCCTCCTCTGGATACATTCCAGCATGTCAGCATCTCACTCCAGTTGCGATGCCCAGAACTGGACACAGTGTGATTCCAGGTGTGTTCTGACCAGGCAGAATAGAGGGGTAGCATGACTTCCCTGGATCAAGACACTATACTCCTGTTTATGCAGGCCAAAATCCCATTGGCTTTTTAAGTGGCCATATGACATTGTAGGCTCATGTTCAACTTTTTGCCCATGAGGACTCCAGTATCTTTTTCACACATACTGCTATCAAGCCAGGCATCCCTCATTCTGCATCTTTGCACCCTCAAGCATCCTGACTGGATGTCAACTGTTACTAACATTGTTATGGATTTTGAAAAGGCACAAATGGAGGGTGAAAGGGAGAAATGTGGTAAGAGGAAGGCGCATCAAGCAAACACTTGTCATGACTGCCTTCCATCTGGAAATTAATGTCTTCACTGTGAAAGAACATGTGGATCTACAATAGGTCTCTACAGTTACTTATGGACCCACTGCCAAGACTCAACAATTGGAAAGACAATCATACTCCACCACTAGGGATAGTCCATGAGATTACATAGGAAATCCTGGAACCAGTTTGAACCCCAGGTGGTGATGACATAAACCAAACGTTTTTTATAAAAGACTGCATGTGTCCTGCTCATGCTACACAATTTGTAGTGCTGTGCTTCCACATTAACTGACATGGCAGCATGCTCCGGAATCCTGAGACCCATATTAGGATTATCATGCTCCAGCGTGACTTATGGTCGACTTCTGCTGGAAGGAATCTGTACATAGAATCACACTTGAGAGGTTTCTAGAGAGGTATTCTTTGTAGAGATTCCTAGGTTAACATTTTAATCAAATCTGCGAGTAATCAAATTTGCAAAAGTCAAAACCACAGATGTGGAGGGACAAATGTACTCAAACGATTCTCTAGGATACTGCCATGGCAGTAAATGTGGAATTGCAGTGCTATAATCGTGTAGTATGCTATTTCTTTTGTGGATTAAATAAGTTCGATACTTCCTTGAGGGTCCCCAAGATATGAGATGCTCTGTTCCCCTGATTTACAGCCCTTGTGGGTTGATTATGTTTCTATCCTGATGGGATCCCATTCCTTCAACTAGTTGCATTACAACAGGCAGAAAATTAGGCCTGGCTTTTCTTGGGTTTCATTGGGACCCACATTTTTGAGCATGTGTCAGATTTTGTGGGTGTGGGGCAGGCCCGTAGCCAGGATTTTGTTTCGGGGAGGGGGCTGAGTTTGGTTGGGGGGGGGCTGAGTCTGAGTGAAAGAGGGTCTACCCTAGCAAACCTTTTGTACCGTTACCCCAATACCCCCATGCATATGGGATATATTGAGCATGGTGATCAGATCATGATATGAATAAACATAACAGTTTAAATAATGTACCAGTAAGGCCTTTTCGCGGGCCACCATGAGAATTTCGGGGGGGGGGGGGCTGGTGTGGGGGTGTCTGTAAATAACACAAGACAGAGCTTTCCAAACATTACATGTTAGTGGCACACCTTTTCAGGCATACACTATTTTGTGACACTGATTCAGTTTCACTAACAAATCAGGGGTTAAGCATACATAAATTTGAATAAAGAAATGTATGGGGACACAACATATTGCATTAAATCTTTTCATTTATATTTTAAAAATATTTGATTTATTGAGTATTTCATGTAGACTCAGGTTTCTCATTACATTTGTGTGACAAATCTAACATTAACATTGCAGCCAACACACTGATGTGTTGTGGCACATAGTTTGGAAAGTTCTGGCATAAGAAGATGACTGATATTTGTAATCTAGGAGCACACATTCTGTGTACTCTATTTTGTAGAAGCTTGAATAACAAAGCATAGATGATCTTTTTCTTACCAAGTCACTTTGCCTCTGAAGGGAGCTTCAGTGTAGAATAAACAAAATGGCATTGAATTCCTCTTTAGACCCTTGTAATAAACATAGCAATTACCTCAGTGTTGTTATAAAGAGGAGGCTATAGTAACAACATAGTAGCTATCAAAAGGTAAAGGCAACTATCACTTCTGTTAAATTGAACTTGATTTGAAGTCATCTCACCATTACTGCTCAGTTGTAACATAACTGTCTTTCACCATAGAATGCATGATAGAATAATGAAGAAAGTGTCAGTAACGATATTGTAATAAATGTTTCTTTCCCATACAACTTTCTGATTACAAGACTCCCATATGAAGTCCCATAGGTGTGGATTTCCAAGATAAAGCATTTCTCGGGAGATTTGATTCCTACTATCAGTCTGGATACTAATTGTTTCATATAGATTTGTAACTCCATAGTGCCATTAATTTCTCCTCAAACATATTAACTCCAAAAGTAACTTTCCTGAGTTCTGTGAGGCTGACATCTAAGTTAGGTGTATAGCCATAATTTGCAGCTAGAAATTCTCTTTTTGAAGTCTTGTGTGCCCTTATCTATATAACACATGCATTGCTTCCCCACCCCACCCCTGTTATCAGAAAGTAAATTATGGTATGAACTACATGCTGATAATTTTGCTTCTCACACATCAGCTGCCTGTTTTTGACAGAGGTAATGGGTCGGCCACTTTCCTGCCAGCATGACATGGTTTTCAGTAGATTCTCTGTATAATTTGGTCCAACTAAATTAGACCTATTGAATAAAATAGAGGTTTGGTTAATTAACACTAATGTGATTTCCAGTTTGTATATTTGTAGCTATTAGCTAACCATTGAGTTTAGGCTTTCTGTAACAGTCCCAAGCACATTGGTTTGTTTAGCCCTGAATTCTTTGGGTAGTCCTAGTTAAAATTCGGAATACTTAGTCACCTACTGAATGGTGAGCCAACTCATATAAATTACGATATATTGATTCAGTGGGTCTTTTTTTGAAGTGGGGCTATCAGGCCTTAGGAATTTTTATTATTATTTTCAGGATAAAAACCTATTGTAAAATGGTCCTCTGTTCTATGTGTCTTGGCTCTCAATCTGCGATGAAGAACGGGTCATTTGAGGTGCTTGTTGGAGTCTTCAATCACTGTCAAGAGGAGGATCATGCTCCCCAATGACATCATTTTTTTTAAATGATCTTTATTAGTTTTAGAGTAATACAACATATAAAATTTAAAATTACAACAGGGGTAAGAAGGGGGGGAAGGTCAGAAAGGGGAAGGGAAAGAGAATGGAAGGGGGGGAGATCGGACAGGTGGGCAGTGAGGTATTGGGAATGGGGAACGGCGGGGGGCTGGAAGGGAGGGAGGGGCTGTGGGGGGAAGTTACAATG